GTTTCAGTCACTAAATCCTGAGACATATCAGCATGTGATCTCCCCATGCCCATGTTTGTGGTGAAAGTGGCTCCCAAGATTGCTGCTAAAACATGCCAGCTAGTTGCTGATTTTCCACAGCATGAGTTTTCATTTTAAAAAAAGGCTGAAAATAGGTGTGGTTATCCTCTGCTAATCTTAATGCTTTTATGTTACATTAACTGCTGCAAATTCTCCAATCCTACCACCCAAATAGACTGAACATTTCAAACCATCCTCCTCAGAGGCTGGAAAATAGGCTCTGGTTGCAAAAAGGATTTCTATTCATTTCTGAAATGTAATATTTACACTTTACTAGCAAACGTAAGCATTTACTTTTAACTTATACAAAATGTCATTGATCTGCGTAGTAACGATGAGGTTTTACATCTAGCTGTCTGTGTATTCAGAAGAGCCCTAACCCTGGCAAGATTTAATGCTGTTCCAACCACAGTTTTTGAAAGGAAATTATAGAGTATCCTATTTTACACCCTATAAAAACGTTGCCCTTCTGGCAAAGGAGTTCCTGAAACATTAACCCACATTTTGCGGTACTGCCCTTATTAAAAAGATGCCTGGTTGCAGTTAGCAGTTCCCCATCTAGTCTGATTTCCAGGCTACCCAGATCCAATTTAAAGTTTTACTGTCTGATCAGTGTGATTTATTTCTCTGAACATGGCTAAGTTTTATTTTGCTATTTGTAAAATAGGCCATATTTTGGCCACATCAGTTTTATTATTAAGCTTTGGTTTAGTATGGTTTTTATTTGCAGCTCAGAATGTGTTTTTGTTTTTGAATTTGTCAGTGACCGTAATATCTGTCGGTCTGTCATTTTTGTCTACGGTTCTGTTTTTTGAGATTTGGACTACCAGTGCCAAGGGCAGGGATAAAGAAGAACGCCGGAAAAAGGAGAGAAAATAGTTGAACGTGCCTATTATTATATTCCAATGATATAATTTGCCAGTTTGTGTGTCACTGGTGAGAAAAACAAAACAGATGAAGACCTTTCCTGCATCAGGCCAAAGAAGTGATCCATCTAGGTCAGCATTTTATGGTCAGATTACCTAAAATCCTCTCACAACACCTATAACGCTACAATTTTTGAAAAATAAGTACAAATGGCAAAAGTACTAAGCTAATATATTATGTAATGTTTTTGCCATTTTTACAGTGGAAAGTGTTTAAAGACTTTGTCCCCAGCTTTATTTTATTGAATATCTAAGAGATCAGGAACATTGCAGGGAAGGGATCAAAAGACCCATGCCCATATCCATCCGTGCAACATTGATGATGTGCAAAAGGGGTGGGACCTCCCCACAGACCACCTGTAAGAGATACAGTACAGTACTTGTTTTTCATCTGTGCTTATTGGATTAGGTGCAATAGCTACTGAATCATGATAAAAATCCATGCTTGACTTCTTGTATCAAGCACAGTCATTAATCTTAAGCACATCAGTGTGACCAGTGATTTGAGATTCAGCCTTTTCAAAATAGAAAGTTTACTGCTGGTTGAAAGCTGATTTTAGCACTGATCTCCAGGGACTGAAATGGCTAGGCCATGTCCTTCTATATTTTGGCACCTTGGATTCACAGCTGCTCACAGTTAGAAAACACTGATTCTCAAGTTTCAGGTTTAATTCCATATTGCCTAGCAACTGAGAAAAGCACCCCGCCAAATCATGCTTTGTTTCAGTCACTAAATCCTGAGACATATCTTTGGCTTGTCTAATCACCTTAAATGAACTAATCCAGAGCAGGGGAGAAAAAAAAATCAATTGCAAAGCATTATTACCTCCTAAGAGGTACTGTACGCAGTTCATGGAAGCATCCAAGTCCCAAGAAAGTTTTCAATTATCTTCTCTGTCTTCAGCAAGCTCTTTTTTTGTTTTAAATACTTATGTAGATACATAAGCTGTCATAGAACTCCGTGTTTCTTTTCACTGTTGGGTGTTGGGCATGTATTAATTTCCTGGTCCTGACCATCTTAGGTCCTTGAGATCTTTGTTTAAGACCTCCGTAATTAAATTAAATTAAATTAAATTAAATAGACATTTATATCTTTTTCAGATCAGTTTTTTTTAATGCTGTTTGTTACATTGCTCAAACTTTTAGCTCATTGATTTGGCTTAAGAAATCAGTGTGGAGTTCTCTTGATTTCCTCTGAACCTCCCTTTCACTGTCTTCTAATATCTAACTCCTTTCTCATTTCTTTTCACATCCAGTTTGTTTGCCTTGTTAGACAGTTTTTTAAAACCACTTTTGCTTTTGCAGTGTTTTATCGCCATCGAGTCCTTTGCTAAGCTAAGGGTCTGGTTCTGCATGTTGTCTTTTTTTTTTTTTTACTAGTTCCATTTTGCCCTCTTGGGAAACCTGGCAGAAAGTCCATCAACCATCTTTTTGGCCTAAGTTCAATAGTTTTTAATGGTCCAAAAAAAAAAAGATCCACAGCTATGGCAACCAGTAATCTAAATGTAAGATACTTCAAGAACTTTTTTCAACCATATTTTGTGGGGCTTTGGCATCCCAAATTATGGTTCAGTCTACACTTGGTTGCTTCTTAATTGTGACAGAATATATGAAAGTTGTTTGACAGTGTCCTGGATTATGGGTTCTGCCTCACACAGTTCTTAAACTCAGGAGGCTGGTAGCACCTTTTCTGACTAACCCAATAATAATTAGTTAAATTAAAAATAAATTAACACAATTTGTTAGCCGGAAAAGATGCTACCTGACTCCTGATTTTTTGCCCCTCTAAAGTAGCATGGCTCTCTTCCTACATAGTTCTGAAGCTGTGACTCCTGAGGTTAGCTTGTAACTTCAGTTCTTTTCCATTATCCATAAGCAGCCTTGAAGTAAAGCTCTTAGTGTTTCTCTTCTAGTCATTCTAAATAACTCTGGTGATATTTTTCTTTTTCTTTTCCTTTCTAAATATGTTAATGGAAGGCCAGAGTAGTGTAGGGATTAAAGTAGTGGGCTAGGCTTAGGGACACTCAGGCCCAAGACTACCCTCAGCAGACTTTGGGCCAGTCACTCTCTCTCAGCTCAGCTTATCTCACAAGGTTGTTATTTGGGGAAACATTGGAGGAGAAAGTGCTACGTATACCACCTTGAATTACGGGATATAAATTTAACAAATAAATAAAATCTTTGTGTTTCCAGGCTTCATTTGGTTCACATAGCTCTCTGGGCCGTGGTATTTAGAATTAGTGTGCCAATCTATATGATAAAGGGCAGGTATTATAACACAATCATTTTCTTTGCTATATAGTGAATTGTTGTTTTTGTTGTTGTTATTTTTATGTGTATGAAAATATTGATGGAGCTCTTTATTACATATGAAGGTGAATGATTATTAAATGAACTGACCTTCGACAGTTTTGACTCAGTATTATCAATGTGAGCTAATTTTCCCCAAATCTGAGTCAGAAATAGCTTTTCTTCATAACAGTGTATAAATCTGCTATGTATGAACCTTATTTCATTTAAAAGAGCATCTATACTAATCATATATATGTATATATGAAGATTTGCATGTCCATAGGCATATCTCAGGCAATGTTGAACTGCAAAGTATTCTCCTGAGTGTTAATTGTTCAATATGTCAGCAAGCATATTAAAAAAAAAAAACTTCTCAAAAACGTTATTTATTCATTGCTAACTGGAAATTACAATTATTCCATTCCAGGAATAAAGAAGAAAAATGGTTGTCCAGGGCTTGGCTTGTTCTATACGTTGTTATCTGCCTTCCTGTTCTCTGTTGCTTCCTTATTTCTAAAGAAAATCGAAGATGTGCATTCCGTGGAAATCAGTGCCATTAGATGTGTTTTTCAAATAACATTTGTTCTTCCTGGTTTAATATACTTCAAGTGAGTATTCTCTTCCTTTTGCATGTGAAAATAAAAACTTCATAGAGTATTAGATTAAAAAGTGCAAAAGATGTTTGGGATGGGTAACTATAACTATAACTATAACTATAACTATAACTATAACTATAACTATAACTATATATAACTAGTACCTCTAGTTACGAACGCCCCTCCTTA